ATAAATTCTTTAAAAATTAGACAATGTGAGTTTCTGGATTTTTTTCCCCATTTTGTCTCTCATAGTTGAGGTGAAATGATGAAAATTACAGGCCTCTCTCATCTTTTTAAGTGGGAGAACTTGCACAATTGGTGGCTGACTAAATACTTTTTTGGCCCACCATATACTGTAAAAAAGGATATAGCACATATAAAATATATAACATTAAACACAATATACATATGTGATGGATCTTTGGTACAGAATTACGACATAAACATAACTGCGCTGGGAGACAACAGAACACAGACTGCTTTTCTAATCACAGCTTGTGGTCTTTATTAGCTACAGCAACAAAATGGAGTGTACGTATAAAAATACAAAAGCCACAGCCTACTAAAGGTTGTAAAGTACAATCCTATATGGAACGACCTGGAAACCACACACAGTGTTCAGCTGACCAAATATGTTATCAAGTGCATTTAGCTATTAGTGCATTTGGCATATCCTTAAATGTGCTCATTTCACCAGGGCTTCCTTCAATGGCAGCCCAAAACCACAATAAGTACGTGCTCTGCAGGCAGCTACACGTTGTCGTACCAGCACTGCAGACTCAAAGTATTCAGAAAAATGCACCTTTTGTATGTCACTTCTATTATTCATAATCAAATTCTCTTAAAATGATCAGTGATGCATGTCCCTGTTACTTGCCAGTTCTCAAGCAAAATAAGAATAAAAAAATCATTAAAAAACCCTTATTCCTTATGTAAAATTATAAAGTGCATTTCAAAACAAAACACACAATAAATATTACAGATTAGTTACAGATTGGTAGGTCAGCTGACTGGCATGTCTTAAACTAACAATTTAACAATTGTACATTTTAATATATTGGGGCAGAAGTGTACAGTGATTGCATTAATAAAGAATATAACAAAAGGTACCAACATTATCAGGTAATTGCAACATACCGTATTTTTCCGACAATAAGACGATACTTTTTTCTAAAATCCTTACACTAAAAATTGAAGGGCGTCTC